GGAGTAGTTAGGCTGCTCTCAAGGAGGGCAGACAAGTCCATCCTAGAACGAGGATTGGGGCAGGAGTCACGGCCTGAATGACTCAAGAAATGGTGGCCCTGGCCAGGGATTCACAAATGTTGGGGGGGGGGCAGGGCCCACCAGGCTTCCCCTCACCCTTCCAAGTTGAGCTCACAGACCACTTTCTACCATCTTCCTCGGCTCACTTCCTAAACTGCTAAATAACAGCTGTCACACCTGTGGCTCTCATCTCCCCTACTAGACAGTAAATACCTATTAATTATCCAGCATGGGACCTCCTTCAGCATCTGTAGCAGAGTCTCACACCCAGCAAAGCTGATGCTCTGGCACCAGGGGCTGAGCTGGTCTGCAGGAAGGAGGGATGAGGTCGCCAACCTTGGAATGGGGACACCTGGAACTCTCTGTGGTCCTAAGCACTGACTCATCACGGGCACACAGGGTGCGGGAATCTGTCATCTCCTTATTCTGTCCACTTGTCAATCCCTCTAGTTCTTCCTTTCAGACTGATGCATCTTCAATAGATAACACCTTCCCTCCAAGTGCGTGGAAAGTAATGGACAGGGAACAGAGTGGTCTTGGCTTCTCTGAGATAAGGAGGCATTGGCTTTTTAAAAGGTTCAAAACAGTCCAAAGTGCTGCAGGGGTCAGTTAGCCAACAGGTAAGGTCAGCCTCGAGCTTAAAGCCTGGCTGTGAGCGATCCATTTCAGAGAACCCTCTGAAGGAAGACCCTTGAAGTAGGTGTTGGTGGGAGCAACCAGGAGGTCCCATCCCCCCCTCTCCTCCAGTTCCTGAGGGAGAAGAAAACAAACAAAAATCACCCCACACCTTCAGAAACACGAATGCACACATTAACGTCGTACCAGCCGCCTACTTCAAGTGATCAGAGTGAGGGAGAAGTTAGGAGAAGCTTCACCGGGGCTGGATGTTTGCTGCCCCTGCAGATCATTTCCGACAGAGGCAGCAAAGTCCAGGCTCCTGGAGGGAGGGCAGGTCTCCTGCGGTTCCTACAGCTAGAGGACGCTCCCCTGTGGGAGAGACAGATGTTAACAGTCATAGCAATGCTATAGCAACGGTACCACCTGAGCTTGAGACTGGAACTGGGCATCAGTTTTGTTGCCCAGCTCCCTCATTACCATACCAGACCAGGAGCCCCTCACAGGTATGGGGTGGAGACTGCCCCAGTGTTGATTTTTGGAAATGACTTGCAGTAAAACCCTGGCTGGGCCCTACACACTGACTAGCCCAGGGGTTGAGAGCCAGGGAGCTACAGCTCAGACAGCCCTAATCACTCTTCTAAGTGGAGTCCCTAGCACTGTGGACTTCTGGGTGCACATGCAGGGGGATGAGGCAGGGGGATTACTGAGAGGAGGCATTTGTAGGGAGCCCAGACTCCAAACCAGAACTCCTAAGGTGGAGTCTCCCTACAGCACCCTTCTCCAAATTGTGAAGACCTCCTACGCCCAGGAGCTCTCTTTCCACGGCCCTTCTGACATGTCGATAGGTACTTGTCCTGATGCGTTCCCTCCCCACACTCTTTTTGACTTTCTTGCTCCCTGATGACTGACCCCTGCAGCTCTCTGGCCTCTTCTCCAGAGCCTCATCAGGAAAGCACCAGCTTTCTCCGCCCCCTCCTTGCCCCTGAAGGGCAGGCGGATGATGAGAAGGGAAAAAAGGTGAGAGCCAGCCAGGGGGATGGAGAGCTCAGAGAAAAACTCTGTCGATTCCTCAGCCTGGTGTGTTCCCTTCAGCCCTGGGCATCAGGGGACAGGGAGCGCTGACCAGAGCAGGCAAGATGAGGAACTTAGTGAGAGCTTTAAAATGCAACGTCATTGTTTGGCTGGAAGAGTTTGAATTCCCAAAGACCGCTCCATTAAAATGCAGAAGGAACCAGAAAGGAACAACAGCTGGTCTGCTCCACATGCTGAGTGTTGTGTGAAAATCAGAGAACCTTCGTGAGGTCAGAGTGCAGCTCGCACATGGCCTGCGGGATAGGCCCTCTTGGCCTCTGTCTATGCTTCTGAAAAACAGTATCTAAGGTCTCTTTTGAGCTCCAAATCGTAACTGGAGAGACCTTGGCTGCTGGGTGGTACAGTGGATAGGGCAATAGACCTGTAATCAGGAAGACTCGAGTTCAAATCCTAACACACTTACTGGCTCTGTGACTCAGGGCAAGTCACTTAACCTGTCTCAATTTCATCATCAATGAAATGGGGATAATAGCACGCTCCTGCCGGGACTACATAAATACCAGCTGTTACTGTAATAGAGGAACATTCCCTCAGCATGCAGCGGAGCTGTGGCGGCTATAGCAGAGGCTGACCCGCCTCAGCACCTGCAATGCCCTCCTGCCCCCCCTCCTCAACGGCACTTCATACAAGCCCTGGTGCCCTGAAGACTCAGCTCCTGCACCACTACCTCCAGGAGGCCTTCCCTGATCCTCCCCCACCCTCCAGTTTCCACTACATATACTCTGCATTTATTTTTATGTATTCATGGGGCTTCTCCCCCAAATGACATCACTCCTCTCAGTCAGTGTTTGATTTTTGCCTCCGAAGCCCCCGGTGACCAGACAGGGGCCTGTTGTATTTGCTGACTGACAGTGGCCAGGTCACGGCTTCTTCTCCTCCAAAGGCTCTCTCTCCTGTGGCAGCCCTGTTCCAAGATGGTCACTAGCCTGACAGAGAAAGCTGTGGCCAATCCAGGCACGTAGGGCAGAAGACATGGCAAACTCAGGTGACCATTTCACCCAAGTCTGGGACCATCGGAGAAGTGTAAAGAGGGACCTGTCGCCATCTAGTGCCCACTCATTTCACGCAGCAAGGGTCAAAGCAGAGCCATGTTTTAAATCCACAGTCAGTTGCATAGACTCAGTTGTATGGACATTTTTGACTGTGTACAGAACACTGTGGTATTGGCGGATGAGATACAAAATTCAGCTAAGACATGGGCCCTGTCCTCACGAAGCTTACTAACAGGAGCAAAAGAAGAGCCCACCTTCTGCCTCTGGGGGGAGGCTTCTATTCCTCAGCCCTGAGGGGAGCGGGGCGCCCAGTGGCCAAAGCCTGGGGTCTCGGCTGCGTGACCCAATCACTTGCTTCCTTAAGTTTCTCCATTCGTCACAGGGGGCCAATAATCACTACTTAGCCTCCCTTACACCCGTGAGAGTAAAAGTGGGTTGAGAATCGTCATACAAATTCAAGCTTCTCTGGCCAAACCACTCAAGGGCTTTCCTTTTCGAAGGCAAGAGCAGTGAGCCAGTTCCCACCAACGCCACTGACCTGCAGAGACATGGGAAGTCAGGACAAGGTCTTATTGGCTGGATGAGATCAGGACGTAATTAGCGCACAAATCCACTGGCAACATGGGGAGGTCTGGCCGGCCCGTCTTCCACAGGCCTACAGCTAACTGATCAATAAGCCTGGATCTCGAAAAAAGCCAAGCACCCAAACTATGAGGGTGGGAGAGTTTACTCCCATTCTGGAAAGCTGTAATCTGAGAGTAGGTGAACAGATAGCAATCTCTTTGGGCTCGAGAAACATCCTTGACAACCGAAGACAGAAGGAAGATGTGCTTACTGGTAACCCTAAGAGATGGCCCTCTCCCCAGTGAGATCCAACAAAGCCTCACCCTCCCTTTCTGCTGGCCAGGCTACTCACACCAACTCCCCTTGAAAGGCAATGTCTAATGGTGAAAGAAGTCCCAAGTCCCTCCAGCCTCGCCAGGGCTGCATCTCCAAACCCTTGTATTCCACACAGTGTTGGCCTTGGTTGTGGGATGAGGCTGACCCAGTGACAAAAGAGTGATCACTGAAAGGGGATCTGGGGAGGAGGCCGGAATGGCCACAATGGGGTTGTGTAACTGACCACCCCAGCACTCTGGCCTCCACAGTGCAGAGAGCACAGCTACAAGGTCCATTTCTTATTGCTGCTGGCCCCGAGTTGGCTGGGCAGAAGAGACGCCTTTGGATACTTTTCTGACTGACATTATTCTCCTTTCCTAGGTTAACCAATCGCAACTATGGGGTTCCATACCTCCCACTGGTTATCGGGGAAGGCCGTCAAAGACAGCAGCAGCTCCCTGCGGCCAATGCCCTCACCACTGCCGCTGCCAAGTATTTCTACCATTCTTCCTTCTTTCTCTAGCTGGCTGTCCATGCACCCTCAGCTCTGGCTAGCCTGGGACTTGGGGTTCTCCACTCGGTCTACAGTTTTCTGCCTTTTTCTAGGCTCTTGTATGCACCATTCCCCTGCCTGCCAGGGCCTTCTTACTCATCTCCCTTTACTGATGAACCCTCCTCCCCCCAGGGCCTCTTGGCCTCCCATCCTTGCTTTAAGCATGCCAGGGACACCTACAGCTTGGGGACAGAGGCCTTGATGACCTTGTACCCCCAGAGCAGAGACCTGAGCACCACCCATTGAGTGGGCTGGGACTAGTGACTGAGCAGAGGGCTGTCTGGAGAGTTCCGGCCACAAAGGCCAGCCCATCCTGCCTTGGCTTTAACCCACTCCCTTCCATTATTAAGAAAAAGGAGCCGCTGTTGCACTGGTGAGCTAATCCGCCTTGGCAAATGGCTGCCCCTTCATCCCGCCTACTCACTTTGAAAGCTTAATCGTCCTTGCACAACGAATTGGCACCAGGTTTGGCTGGGACTGATTCCCAAGGACAGGAAAATTTTTTTTATTTCTTCACAACAATAACAAAATTCTAAACATAGTTCTGTCCTTTAAAACAACAAGCCCTCTGTAAACATATACAGCCAACTTTATGTGTAACTATTTACACAAGCACTTGAGCAGCTGGGGCAGGGTGTTGAGAGAAAAGCCAAGAACGGCTTCCATTAAACAAACAAAACAACTCCCCCCACCCCCACCTTTAAA